CCTCAAGTACCTCTCCAAAGTGCTAAAGAGTTATGATGAGCCTCTCCAAGCCATGGCATTTTAGGATAGGAATATCCTATCTAACATTATGGATAGGAATCGCTTCCTATGCTTATAAAAGTTTGACAGTATCTGTAACATAAGAGTTGTCTTTGAATTTTGGTTTTTAGAAGAGTATCCCATGGACTGCAAAAAACCAATCTGACCTGGAAGAAAGGCACCCTTAGGGGCATGTAGGACTGAAACAGCCTCACATACTTTGGGCATATTATCAGGAGGATACTAGTCTTTGGAGAAAGATGCTGGGAAAGGTGGAGGGCCAGGGAAGACCCTCAGTAAGATGTACTGACATGTCAGTCTAATAAATGTCTAGAACAGTCTAGTGATGAGGACGGTGTAAGGTTTCAATATGAGTTGTAGTGTCACATAACACTTATGAACCATCCTCTACCTGGAAGTGTTTTCTAACAGCTAAGGTTTGAAAACTAGTTTTCTAAATCTTGTTCCAAGAAGCAATCCAATTCTCCAGATCTATAAACCCTTCACTCAAGTTAAACCAGTTCTTGCTAATGATTGTTTGCAACCTAACCTGGTAGGTAAGGTTAGTCCACTGGGTTTTCTGAGATCCAGCCCAGGTGGCATGGCCAGGTTAAGTTAGGAAACAAGTACACACAGCTCAGTCCCTGCCCTTCATTAACCTGACTAGAATTTGGTTTCCATGGTTTTAGACAGGGAACATCAATACCTCAACCATATGCACCTGATCCCACCCTCATTGTTCCAAGCCCGCTGTTAGTATTAAGCCCATCAAGTGCTCTTCCAGGCTAATGACAGGAGCCAGAGAGGTTTTTTCCCTTGTCCACTAGATGGCATTGTTGATTAGCCCAAGTCAAACATTTGCAACTCATCACTACTTTCCATAGGGTTCCTGAAGCTATCAATATTTATGGGAGGAGATTGGTTGTCCTCCCCTGGAGCCAGTGGTGGAGTTGAACAGCCGATTTCTTGGTCGACAGCCCCACTAAGCACATGTACCCAGATCCTAACCTAGTGATCTAATACAATGATGTAATAGACCTCAATGGGGGAGGGAATTTGCAGGGAGTTGCCCCACCCCAGAAACCCTCTAATGGTTCAAATTCAGCAGTGGATTCTTGAGAGACATCTCCCTTGTGATTTACAGCCAAGAAAGCCCACTAGAGGATCAGTTACGAGCTGCTTCAGACTCAACTGCAGAGAAAGTTTCAGTCAACACTATCACCAGCAGCCAGGAAATTAAAAGACGTATTGCAATGGGGAAGTCTGTTAGGGACCTCTCTAAAGTACTAAAGAGCAATGGTGTCTCTCTGGAGACAAAGGGCCGTCTGATACAGACCATGGTATTCGCAATCACTTAAGCATCAGAGAGTTGGACAATGACTAGGAAGGATAGGAGAATTGATGCCTTTGAGCTTTGGTGTTGGAGAAGAGTATTGAGGGTACCATGGACTGCTAAGAAAACAAACATTCACCCTGGAGAGGGTTAAAGCGGCCTGCTCCTTGGATGCAAGGATTCTGAGGCTTCATCTGACATACTTTGGACATGTTGTAAGGAGAAACCGGTCCTCGGAGGACATCATGCTTGGGAGGGTGGAGAGACAACGCAGGAGGGGTAGGCCCTCTAGGAGGTAGAATGATCCAGTAACGGGAAATTGGGATGGGTGTGTCGGAGACAGTAATATTGGCACAGGACAGAGCAGAGTTTAGGGCTGCTGTACATAGGGTCGCTGAGTCACAAGTGACTCGACGGCACATAACTACCACCACCTTGATATAAAGACTGAGTGGCCGCCAAACCACTGCTCCTTGGACCCAGTTTCTCTGCATTTGGCTCTGTTCCCAATCTGACTTCACAGAAGTCATAATTTTCTGGACTTCACTTTATAACATTTACCTGTTATTTTATCCAAGTATATAAATAAATCCGAAAACCTTCAAATGGTAAAATTTTAGTGACATAACTGGAGGGGGGGGAACTGCTCATTTTAATAACCTGAATACTGGAACTGTTTTGAAAACCTCTTCTCATCCTCTTCTATGTATGGTTTCCATGTATTAACGGTTACCATAAAATGAAGAGCTAAGATTGTTCTTAAATATTTTCTTAGGGTCACTTTGAGTAATGCTTGACTCAATGGCACCTTACAACAATATTTTGTTACCTCCAAAAAGAAAACAAGGACTCGGATCTGTACTTTCTGGGTTTAACATTCAGCATACTACCTGGGAAGCACTTTGGTAGCCCAACAAGTGTCTGAAAGGTTTTAACTCACTTAGCAACTTCGGGGGTGGGGGGGAGGGGGGAAGTCTGGGGACCTGTTTCTATAGAGACTACCTTCCCATCCTACAGGTTCATTCTGACTCAGTGGTACTGAACAAGTTACTTGGATTCAGCAGCAAGAAGCTACCATTAAATCAGGAAGACAAGAGCCTGTTCTACTTCAAGCATATGCATAGTTCTCTGGGAGAAGGAAGCTCATTCGTAAATGCCTCCTGATATCCCATGCTAGACAGACACAAACATCCAGAAATTCCAGGCAGGAGATGGGTTATGGGCTGAGATGCTGTCCCACAAGTGAATACAAGTGGGTTACTGTTTTTCCAGTTACTCTGAAATATCTCATGCCAGGATACTGCAAAGGTTTTCCTGATCAAACAGGATATGCATTCTAATAACAGGAAATGCAAACAGCTTAAACAAGAGTTTAAAAAGTGGGGGGGAGTGCCAGAAACCATGGAAAAAGATTAGTCTATTTAACTTGGGTATGTTAGTAGAAAAGCATAGAAAAAGTTCTTTAAAATACACATCAATATGCCAAACACAATGGGGGGGAAGTCAAGGCAGGAGGGGCAGGCAGAAGTGGTAGGCAAGATCAGAACATGTTCGCTTCTAACACAACAGATCTAATCCATTAAAAATGGCAGAGGCTAATAAAATAGTTTATTTTTGGCACAAACTTAAATCTCAACCTTTTTAAGAAGCAAGCAAAATGTCCTTATAATCTGGTATAATACTGATGGGCAAGTTAAGTAACTTTTGACTTTTAAATGAATTATTTTGAGCATTTTTTTGCTTCATCTGCAGCAAGGTAGTTGGAAAATAATCACCTCAGAATGGTACACTTCATCTAATCTTCGTTTCGTCACTAAACACGTACATTTAAACCTATGCCCTCAACCCACCAATTATCCTTGACTGCCTCTGAGGCAGTCGGGTGTCCATCTGGGTTTCTGTCACTTCAATAATTTCACACAATTAATAAAGTTCATGCTTTAAACATGCCCAGTGGCTTTGTGCTCAGACTGTTTGACTTACACACTCCACTTTTCCTTCCTACTCCCAGAACATTCTGATTCTGCAGAAAGAATGTCAAGGCAGGGTGGCCCCAACCACTGTTATGTGGGAAGGCTGGGGCTCCAAGAACCAGCATCCTCTAACCCAGAGTGGCCCTGAGCATTTTCTGGATATGCTGAGTCAGGAAAAAGCAACACATTTAAACCTCAGGAACTTCAGTGTTCTCTCCCTAGTTGTAGAGGAAAGCTGCCAACAGTACACTGAAGAAAACAGTTAATGCACGAAATTAATCATTGGACAGCATCGGATCAAATTCATAGTTCAAGTTTACAAGACAGGCAGAAGCCATACAAAACTTGTAACTACCAACCACATTCAACAAAGATATAAAATACAATTACTTTATTGATTTCTTACAACCATGTACTGCCAACTAGCATTACTTCCACTCATGCATCATTAAAAACAGAAGGCTATTTCCTTGGTTATTTTCAAATGATGCATTATACAATAAACAAAAAAAGTTAGAACTTAAAATGCACCCTGATTAATTATGTAAACTGGTAATCAAAAAAAAAAAAAAGCATTAACTAGTAATTTGGTTCCTTTCTTCATAAAATGGAAATTTACCTATTTCTCCTGATAGTCTTGAGGTTATCATTATGTTGTGAGTAGTGCAAAGTGTGGCACATAGTTTCATCTAGAAAGGTCTGTTTCTTACATACCTCCTTTCAACAAACAGAATGTGCATAACAAAATGCATACAGTCAATGCATGATAGAAAGCGTATTTCAAAAACAAGACAGCCCCTGGGCCATCCCATTATTTAGATTTGCATTATCCTTTATGGCATTATAAAGTAATTACACATAACATACTTCTGTACATTTTAACCCTGAAGATAAGTGTTGCTTGAAAAAAATTAATTCCAGGTAGCCATTTGGTTTTTATCAGGAGAAAGTGAACCTCCAAGAGTTTAGTGTCTGCCAAGTCTG